TTATTTTAGATAAAAACGAAGAAAATTTTCGTTTAAATATAATAAAATATGTTAAACTGCGAAAATTGTACGGGTAAGAAAAGTTTATATAAGGTACGATTAAACATTAATTTGAATCATACCAGTAGCAGTCGAATGCTACGTATCGATTAACAATTTATTTATAGTTAATTAACAATTTATGTCATTCATGTTTCATTTTAATATATTTTTAATGGATATTTACATACAATAATTAATATAATTTCGTAATAATATTGTTCTTTAATTCTTTCATTAAGTAAACTTAATTATAGGTATTACTTATTATTATAAAAAAGGTACTTATTCACTTAATATACGTGTACAAATAAAAGGCACATTGAAGTAATATTGTAATATTTAGCGTCTTACAAAATCTTTCAAAAAATGATTAAAAATTATTCAAACATGCGTACAACCTTTTGTAATCAAGTACAAATATTGAACTTTATCTGTGCAAATGCAATTTGTTTGAATAGAAATCCGTAAATATTTATCGTTATTTACAAAGAGTATATACGCGTACATACCGTCAATCGTAAAACATACCTATAACATGCAAAAACAGTTTAACGAACATTAAAATATGAATAAAACATTGTTACACGTTTCTTTTTTTTTTTTTCTTAGTAGTTGTAAAGTATACTTCTTGAAAGATCACGAACGTAAATCTTCGACTGTTGTTTCGTTTAAATAAATAGAAATACAAATTATGCATAAGTCTAAGCATATTAATAAATTTGATTTTTACATTTTACGATTTTTATTATTCATGGAAAATGTGTAATAATGCTACTGAATAATGTTTAGTTTATAAATGTAGAAGTGAATTTGAATCAGAGTAGCAATGTGTAATTATTATACTGTAATAGTAAATGTAGTAATTTACACAAATATTTTCATCGTGTTTCATGAAATCAGATTAATTTTCTCTATTATTTTCGTATATTTGTTAAATTTAATTTTACTTTACAAAGAAAATACAAAATCCAGATGCAGCAAGAAATAATATATACATAATGCATGTATACATCTATTGAATTATGTATTATTGATAAACTCAAGTAGACAAAGCATCGGATGAACTCTATTATACCAGCATAGGATGATTTGTCGAGCAATAAACCAATTGTGGTAAGAGCGAACAAATTGCTGAGAAATATAGATCCGGAAGATGTGGTCTTTGATTCCTAAAAACGAGATTTTTGTTCATTATTATCTATCCAATATTTAAGAAGTTCCTATTGCAAATATTTGAAATATGTATAAGGGAATCGTTTAAAATATACTTATTACCAGGGCCGTATTTACCATAAGGCGCATTAGGCGCAAGCTGAGGCCACATTTTAAAACCTTACTCCTCGCAAGCAACGATACAAAAAACAGCTTGGTCATAGTTGCAAGATAAAATACCTATTTTTAAATGTTAAGTTCATAATATAAGAACAAGTTCTATAATCTTTTTTAATTTAAAATTGAACTGATTAATTTTTATACTTTTTTTTAATGCAAATATATTATATGTATAGGGTAACTGCACCTAATATGGAACACCTGATTTTAAAAGCTTGCCAAGCATAGAGACATGCTTTTTTTTTAATGAAACTAACGTTAAAACACGACAAAATTAATAGATATTCGTATGTTACTAGTTAACTATGCAAAAGTTTAAGTGTCTTGAAGTCATGGTAGAAAATGTGAAAAAAGACAAACATTGAAAAAATGGTACCTAATATGATGTAATAGACTTGTTCTTTTGAGACCACGTAATGACGTTGCGCCTAGGACCTCCAAAAGTATAAATGCGACCCTGCTGATTACTATGAAAGGAGGATGTTAAAGAAAGGCCAATTTTGGCATACGGCCGGAATAAAAAATTTTTTTAAAGCATGATTCTACGCATCCTAAGGAACGAAAAATGTAATTGTCATGTTTTCCGGAAATGACGAGAAAGTTATGAGAAATGCGGTTCAAGGTAAGAGTATGACCATACTTATATTCCGTCTCGTTTCCTTCATAAATTAACCACTTAGAAACTCATATTGAGTATTATTACAAAGATTGTTGTACATTAGTCTTTAATAAAAACCAAAAATAATTTGCGGTTCAAGGTAAGAGTATGACCATACTTATATTCCGTCTCGTTTCCTTCATAAATTAACCACTTCGAAACTCATATTGAGTATTATTACAAAGATTGTTGTACATTAGTCTTTAATAAAAACCGTAAAAGTTATAATAAACTATCGTAAATATAATAAAATAATCGTCATGACAGGGATACAATGAAAAAGTAAGACTCGAACAGAATTTGCGTTTCTTAACTCTGTATCCGGTGATTTCATTTCTCCACTTAATTTTTTTTCCTCAATATAATAAAATAATCGTCATGACAGGGATACAATAAAAAAGTAAGACTCTAAAAGAATTTGCGTTTCTTAACTCTGTAACTGTGATTTCATTTCTCCACTAATTTTTTTTCCTGACTCGCGACCCAGGCTCGCGTTTCTTATGTTTGGCTCGCAAGAAATATCACGAGTTCTAAGAAGTTAAGGCCTAGAATTTTTCCCAGAACAATTGCGAGCGTACAGCGATCAGAAATCGGGCAGGACGAGTCGTCCTCAGTCGGTGTTTACGAGGCAGTCGAACGAGTGCCTCGGTGAACGTCGCGATTATAGTCTTGTAGGGAATACATCGAACAACGCGTTTTCGATTATACTTAGCATATTCGTTCGTGTGAATTAAGTGCCGCTGCATACAAGAAGGTAGTGCACCGAATTCAAGTACACAACGAATAGTTCAGCTTGCGAGAAAAATTAATTATTTTTCATTATATTTGGTTTCTATTAAACACTAATGTACAACAATCTTTGTAAATAATACTCAATATGAGTTTCTAAGTGGTTAATTTACGAACAGACCATCATCCGAAGAAAACGAGACGGAATATTAAGTTAGAAGTATGGTCATACTCTTACCTTGAACCGCATTTCTCATAACTTTCCCATCATTTCCGGGAAAAATGACAATTACATTTTTCGTTCCTCAGGATGCGTACAATCATGCTGTAAAAAGATTTTTCGTTCCGGCCGTATGCCAAAATTGACCTTTTTCTAACATCCTCCTTTATGTTATTGCAATAATTACCTGTACTTCGTCGTATAACTGAAGATGATGGTAGAAAACTAGGCAGAAATGCACAAGTATATAGAAATTTTGCCATGCGGATATATGGGTGTCAAATTTAACCCTAGACGTGACCTATAGGGGGTAATTGCAACATTATTATCACTATAAACGTGACTCGAAATAAATATGCTGATTTTATGATTACAAGATTCAGCGAACACGTGTCAATGGAGACCCTTTGTAAAATCAAACCGGTTTACAACGGTCACGATGATTCAAACTACTATTTATGTCATATTAGCACAGACTGTTAGATACCAATTACATAAGTTCATTAATATTCTTAAAGGTACATAAGTTTGCTTATTTTTAAATATTGTTCAATGATCGAAAGCTTGTCGATAACTCATTTTACTCGAATAAAAGTAATAAAGTTACTTCGTAATAATCCGACATATTTCGTATTAAGCCTTGAATCGTTAACAAATAATTATGGTTAGTGTCGTATAACAATAAAAGGTAGAAAGTAAAAACTATGAAATATACGTATCAAATTGAATATCAGAATAATAATAATGGTAATGACGATGTAATTGTAATGATTTATGAAATATAGAGCTTACGTTAATTTTGTATTCGTCAAGACCTAAACGAGGACCACCTGGAAACCAGCTGGGACCTTTCCAAAAAACAGCCAATTTGTCCATAAAAGTTGACATCCGTAAACTTTTTTGAATTAACTGTATAGTATAAAATGTCTAGAAAATTTGAAGGTAGTTATTTGCCGAGGAAAATAATTTAATTATCATATGCTAAATTCTTTTGTAAATAGATACAAATAACTAGAACTAGAGAAAAGAAAAAAAAATATGCCAAATTTCAACGGACAAAGGAAACCATTGTGTTACACATAGGTGTAATTTATCGCGTATACATGTTAAATTAAAAAAAAAAAAAAAAGGTACACGTCAATATTGCATATATAATTATATACTGCATATACTTCGTTGGGTTTTGCAATTACTATAGCAGTGTGTTTAAACATATTTGTTATATAAACTAATATTGAAAATATGTTGTACATTTGTTATACAAATTGCATTAATAAGCAAATACTCGTTAAAGCGTGGATTGGCTTTGAGATCATGTCAATCAACTGCTCATTTCCATAACTAATTGTCCCTTTATATAACGGAATGATCGCGCATTTCATCGTTCGTTAGATAAAAGGCTCATATGTGGTCTAATGATAAGGAATAGTTGTATGGACATTTCTGTGAACCACAGTATCTCACCTGTAAATACAAAGGATTGAAAGATTGAGGACTAACGACTAAGCCATAAATGATTTCCTCCTTTTCTTTTTCTTCCATAAATGTTCCAAATAGCTTGTCCCATATGATAAGAACGCCGCCGTAATTTTTGTCCAGGCAATATAAATTGCAACCTGTCGAAGATATATCAACAATTTTATTTGTGCAGTGTGTAATAACTTCGATTAATAATCTCATCGAAGGTAAATAGGAATCTTTTATTCATCTGTCTCTTACCGTGATGCACGCGATGATGTTTCGGTGTATTGAATATTAATTCTAACGGTCCCATATCATCGATGACAGTCGTATGAATCCATAATTGATAAATTAAATTGAATTGATTATGTGCAATGAAATGCGATGGAGGTATAAATAAGGCGAGGGGTAAATATAATATCTGTGAACAGATCGTGCATCTTTATACGATACTTAATTAAAACATTGTCGCATTTGAAAATCATGTTATATTCCTATTCTCGTGATATAATAGCAACGGTTCAATTGTACTATAATTTAACTGTTGTGTAGGCAACCGGGCACTCATTTCTATATTTTCCTTTAACAATTTTTTATATTCCCATGAAAGTATGGTAAAATCCTATTTTTTGGACATTTTCACGTCGATATACGCTTCCAAAATAAACATTTATGCAGACAATTTGAAATATTAAAGCTTGAAACAACCGTGATCATTTTGGTTGCCCACGCAAGAGTTATATAAACGAAATGAAACTGAAAAGAAGTAATTTAATTGCGCTAATTTTCATCGATTTAAAGCTAATTGTACAATTTAAATATTTTCGAAATATGGATTATACGAAATTATCTCAAAGCTAAATTTCATTTTTACACGAACTTCCAGTTTTAGAAAAAAAAAGTTAAAATTATCTATTTATAAATAACAATATCGCGTTACTTTCAGCTTTTTAGAAGAAAAGTCTCAGCTTGTTCAATACATCTCGGTTTATTCAGTTTGGGAATAATTAACATCAAACAGAATGAAACGGATGTTCTTTCTTTCACTGTAACACTTTTGAAACTGTATTAAAAATTCTCTTGTTTATTATGTTCGAAGCACGGCTGTTTATTAAACAGTGAGATTGAGATAATTGCGGACGTATAGTTGGTGGAAGAGCTAAAATCAGACAGGTGTGAAAGAATATGAAATTCGATTTCCAAAATATCAATTAGAGATAAGAAGCTCGAGCCTCGTTCAGAGCCATGTAAAACCAATTCGGTTTTTCTATTACAGTATTTAAAAAAGTGATAAAAACAGAAAAAGGGTAGCTGCGGATCTATACCGCTCCGAGGATGCACGTCTTTCGCCCGGTACTTGAGGGGTTTCCCCGACGTGTGCGGCTAAATCAATGTGCGCAAATTAAAATATTAAGCGGCGACACCGATTGACATAGCCGCCCCACAAATTTCTGCTTACAATCTTTCATTTAAGATTTACAGTATCAAACCTCCGTCGGTTCCAAAGGCGTATCTACCGTAAATAGCGCCTAAGGCGAGCGCGAAATTTACTTTTTTTTTCTCTTTTACTCCTTTGTTAAGCACATAATAACAAGCGTAAACTACTAACGTTAACCCTGAAAATAAATTTATTCACCAAACACTATTTCTTTTGGCTTTTTTGCGCCCCCCTGGCATTAGCGCCCAAGACACGTGCTCTACTGGACACGCCTCTGGTCGCCTCCTTGCGAATGGTAATTTCCGTATTGGTAAAAATTAACCCGCACCAGTCAACGATTAAGACAAACAGGCTGTACAGATTAAGACAATGCTAACAGATAAAATTTTTTTAAACGTACCGCAACGAAAGAAGCAATTCCGAATTAACATCGGACGGCCCTGAGCAAGGCTCGATCACTTTATCTCCCTCCGAATTGCTGTTTCAGCGCTTGGATTAAATGTTAACATTGACGCCTGACTGATTTCACGACCTCGCTATATCGCTTCCACCGACTATACAGGGCATCGATTGCACCCGTTTCCATATGTGACGTGAGTGAGGCACCCGCAGGATCCCGTGTCTGTAACACGAACGATACTCACGAAGTTACACCAGTGTTGCAAAATGGATTGCCGCAGACCAACCGCAAGATTGAACTCCTCGCTGCTATGGTGCACTTGATGGTGAGCCCATAAAAAGTGTATCTCTGTAAACGGGGCGAGAAACACTATAAATTCGTCAAGTAGAGGGTTCGACAATCACACACATGGTTGGATGGGAATTTAACCGTGGTTACTGCGGTGAACCCAATAGTAACAGAAATCCACCCCCACGGCAGTGATACACCAAGTCCATGTTGAATCCCAGGGTAGATTCCACCAGCGATATCTCTCGTTAATTACGATGTACGCGTAATATTCGGCACCGCGGAAGACAATACTGAAATGTTTTGTCAGAAAAAGGTTAAAATTAAATCGTCTTAACGCTAGAACTATATGCCAGCCCGGGTTAAAACGACCCGTTAGCGATTTTCTAAAAGTGAATTTTCATGTAACTAAAACGTGATTAAAAATATTAAATTCATAATTTAATTATTTCAATAATTTTATAATTTAAAATTCATAATTCGACACAAACAGAAGTATACATGTGAAAAATGAAGTCGGAAAGTTACAAACGATAATTCTTACTAAATAGTATGAAACATTAATTTTTTTTTTCGGAAAGTTGTGCTAATGGGTCATTTTAACCCGGTCGGTAATGTTAGTGTTAATTGTTATGAAGATAAAACAGTTTGTCAAAAATAATCGGTAATTTATATAAGAAAAGAAAATTATTATTGATTCTATTATTATTATACAATTTCTAAGTTTATAAATTGATCATATATTTTTACATTGCCCTTTAGCGTACACCGATGGAAATGCGAGAAGGAATGTGACAACTAAAAATACTCGTTAAAATCAGTCACACGCAAATAGACTTCCTATCACGAAATGGGATAAGGGGAATTGTACTCATCGTTAACAGCTTGATTCATGTTTTATGTTGATATTTATTTTAGGTAAAAAATTGTTTTCCTTCTCGTAATAATTTCGCGAACAAATATTAATTACACAAGCACCGACTACGTTTTTTTTTTTTTGAATATTTCTGCAGAATACCGCGCAGTAATATCGCTATTCGTACTCTGTATATACTTCGTTATTATATTTGTATTTGAACAATCGTAGAATCAAGTTGTACAGTAGCTAGCAAATTTTTAATCACTCATATGTGTTTCTGAGAATTATATTTGTATAACTTTATTTCCACAGTTACGTAACTTTTAATTTAATTAATAATCAAATACCGTATTATTCAATGAAATGTATTTATTTTTATTTTTTACTAAAAAGAAGTAACAAGAATTTTACAAGATATCACACGATGATTGTAATTTCTAAAAAAAACATAACAGAGAGATTGTCTTATCATGTTCGTAATCCATAAAAAGAGTTTTTGTAATTGTATTTTATTTCTGTAGTAATACGTTGACACTAAGAAGAAGAAGTATCTTTCTCTCTTAAATACAGTGGGCAATAATTCTAAATAAATTTCGCACGTAAAGCAATGATAAGAGCTACATAACAGAACGTTACCTATGCTTACCGGCCAGATTCTTGAAACAACCAGTGAGATAAGGATGTCATTTGATCGTTCAAACGGAATCGGTTTTTTTTGGACACCAATATAATTTGCTCCAGTATGATGAGAACGAAGAATGGTAACCATACCTGTGTACATATTTATCGTATATTAATTGATGTAATTGCCCAACTGTCTGTGCCTGATTGTACTATCGGTAGTATGCACTTTATCGTTTCGTGAAAGAATGTTGTTTAAAGCGGTCAAGACTATATTGAAATTTAATGTAGATTAAAGTGTACGAAAAATTCAGCATTACTATTTCCTTTAATACTTATTATTTTTACAATTTGCAAAGATCAGGTCATCCCATAAGTGCGTGTCGAATTTTATAATTCAAATCAGTATTTCCAACGAACCTTTAAATCTGATAAAAAAAAGAAACGTAAACGATTTCTCATTCCACAAATTTTTTCCAATTTTTTTTTTTTTTTTGGTAAAACCATTATGTCATCGCTATAGTGTTTAATTCGATTTTCATTAAAATATTTTTCGCTTTCGGCACGAATTTATGGGGTGGCCTAATAGTTAACTGTCAAGAATATAATAGAATAACTAAAAGTTAAATATTTTGTTTAAAAATTTCTACACACATTATGCAACAATTGAAAAAGAAAATGTAAAGTGTTTTGGTATTAATCTTACGTGGTACTAAAATATATATTGTTTGTAATTGTAATGCATTCATTCTACTTGTACTAACGTTTATACGTGCATTAACTATTATGTATAATATAAAAGTATAGAAACATTATTATCCGTTAAGTAATAATATTTAGTTATCATATGAAAGAAACTTAATAAATTACTGTTTATACATGAACGGGTCACAGGCCAAAGTGGTTAACTCCTCTTTTCGAATTTGTTAAAATTTTAATACCAAAGTACTTGATTGATTCTTATCTTTTTGTATTTAAAATAAATTTCCTTAATAATTAATCTTAACACTACTAAATGAGAAAAATTTTTATGACCGTTGAATAATAAATAATTGATTTCAGAAGCCAATGTGATTAACTCCATACTCTAAAGTAAATCGTTGTAATAATGTAATTGAAACGCTTGTAAGAGTTTAGCTAAGTAATTTTTTAATGTAACAACATAAAAAATATTCATTCTAATATTTTTTGTGGAGTTAACCAATTTAACTTAGCCGAAAGAGAGAAATATAAATAAAAGTAATATTGGGGTGCACTATTTTTCGATAATACGTCACTTCTAAACACAGATGAAATGTAATATAAAGGTGGTTACCTTCTGCTGATAATCAGGTACTTTGTACGGGAATTCGAAGGTTGTCTCATAGGGGTTAACAAGATACCAAAGTTTCCCAGCGTGCTTCAACTGATCGACCAAATCAATATAAGAAATGTTCATTTTGTTTGGCGATGCACACGTATCCACCAAAAATTTTCAAGTAGATCCTGTTAAATCACGAAAAAAAAGTAAATAAATAAACAGTGAAGCATACTAACACCATCCGATTCTGTTTTAGTCATCAAACTGCGTGCACGCATCGTTTATATACGTAAGTTCATGCTAACCGAGGACACGTGAGTATGCGCGCGCGGTGTTTCCTCCACGGCCGTATGTGGTAAAGGCGCGACAATTATGACACAATAACATTTTACGCGAATCGAACCATTTGAAGTATACCAATAATGTTTATCAAAAATAAAAAGAGTCAATTTGTATGTACTAAAGTTCATTATAATGACCGTATATCTCGACGATACGCACTTTGTATTATTAATAGAATGTTCAATGACACATACATTTCCTGCTTAATATGGATAAACTTCTTTAAATATTTTGTCATGCGTTAAAAAGAAACGTCTCGAGAGAGTTGTACGATTTTAAAATTCACGACGTTATCGAAAATCTAACAATTTGCTTGTTCCGATAAATTCATTTTAAATAAGTATTTACCGATAAAGTGTGTTTATGTTAGGTTTAATGAATTAGTGATTGATTAACAATTTTCTTCAGGTAATTGGAAAATTGGAAATAAATATTAATTTACAACGGAAAAATCTGTTGTTACGTAAATATTTAGCGACACTCTTTAAAAATCGTCGGAATATGTAAGTATCTTATATTTGACTAATATAACTTGAAGTATGCGTTGTAAATTTTGAAGATAAACTAGATTAATCATACTTTTATAAATCCCTTCTTTTTTATGTGTTGAATACTCCAAACGATAATACTACAAGAGATACATACGAGATAGTAGTATGCTTGAAAGCCAGGAAATTTTTGAAAAAACTCATAAGAGTGAGAAACAGCATGATACACCACTGTATGTAAACCTTCGGTATGTCAGATACTGCACCAACGATAGTCAGGGTGTTTCATAACGCGCATTACTTATTCCCGCAACAGTGGATAAATCGATAAATTATTCTATTACATATATAAATTATACTGTTGCAAATTAAGCACTTTGACTGGTTTTTATTGCATAAAATGTAAACATTTTTATCGCTTCATTTCGTTCCTTTAAAAAGTTTTTACGCATATGAACGAAGTTGTATACGAAGATAAGAAGTTTAAATATACAAAATAAATATTGCTTAAAGTCACTTTGTTTCTGGAGCTCCACTTTCCAACTGATTGTAAGTTGCAAAGTATAGACGTGTTACATGTTCGAAATAATATATGCTTGGAAGTGCATACAAAAATCGTTGTTTAATTGTATTTTATATTTACATTATTTTCCTCGTATTTACATTTCAACTATATATTTTCTTTACTTAAAAATAATGAAGTATTTATAAAATAATGCTTAAATGTACAACGAAGGTAATTGAATAGATAATCTCACGCCGAATACTAGTGTATTAAAAAAGAAATAAACAAATCGATATCATTACTATCATTTTCTCACGACAATGTAAAGTATTACATTTCATTTTTTTTTTTCAACTTTTAACTTAAGTAATCAAATGTTTACATTTTTTAAATAATTCTTGTTATTGTAGCATTTATTATTTGCAATTCTTGTAATTATATTTTCTGTAACCATATTAAATGAAAAGTTACATTCAAATATACTATAAAATAGAAATTGAAAATTATCTTTTTATTCTTGAGATAATGATTAATTTATAGTGAATATACGTGACAGTTTATTTGTATCACATTCCTTATTATAAGCTAAACAAGTCACTTATGACCCTAACAGCTTAACAAATAATTAAGAGGATATATTTAAACTCTGCCCAGACAACACACAGACGTATTCTGAACGCGTTAAAGATGTCTGTTCAAGACACTCGGGACGTCTTAAAAACGTCAAATAAAAGCCTAAAGACGTCTAAACGACGTATAATGTTACAAGTCAAGATATCTTTAAAATGTCTTCATCAAGTCTAAATTAGATCAAATACAGCTCTTTAAAATATGGTATTAAGATGTTTATAGGTATAGGTTAGGTTTAACATATTTAGTTATTATTACGTTTTTTCTTCAGGAGGTAATGGTTTCCAAAATAAAATCACACTTAATACAAATTTCTTTTATTTATTCCATTGCAGTTAATCTTACTTTTATTATTGTTATATAGCATGCGTTCTAAATATGTTGTGTTTGCTTACAACTATTGAAAAGTTACATAGTTATACAATATTTATGATAAAGTATCTTTATATTATGTAGACACATTGTATTATACATATTATACAATAATTGTAAGTCATTTATAATCCATATGGTAAGTTACTACACCATGCGGTATAGTGTGACAATGCGAAGCACTATGTGCTGGCGTCTGAATACAGTTTTAAAAACGTCTTAAAGACGTATCGTAGGTCGTAAGAACGTAATGAACGTAAAATGAACGTCTCTAAGACATTATGTGCTATCTGGATATAACGAGGTTATGCATAATTAATTCATTTAATATAGTACACAAAACATTCATCAACGACGGGATAATTGCAATTTACATCAAAATGGTTATTTAAAATTAAATTTCTTTAGAAATTAAGAAAACTTGAAAATGTTTAACTAATCCCATTTAGCACACGACATCTTAGAAATGTCCATTTTACATCCATTTTTAATATGAATGCTTAGACGACCATAAAAATTACGTCTTTAAGATGATTTTAAGACGCTGTTAAAAACATACCCAGAAGCTAGTGCGTAGTGCTTCGCAGCGCCACGTTGCATCGTATGGTGTAGTAACTTATCTTGTGAATTATAAGTAGGGTTACCATATTTTTTTATCACCAAACTGGGACAGGTACAAAACAAAAGGACAGAAGGAAAATATTTTGAAAAAATGTTCTTTTATTATAGTAATTAAAAAATCACGTAAAATTAAAACTAAAATAGTAATTAAAAATGTAACAACAATCCATTTGGGAGTCTAGTCATATTTTTCTGTAGATAAAACTTTTTTAAGAAATGTTTTATGATTCTTAATTTGTTCATAGAATTCCGTATACTTTAGAGCTCTTTAAAAATTAAGGAATCAAAAAATCGGTACGTATTTGTAAACTGACCGGCACACCGGAACAAGGGTTGAAAACCGGGACTGTCCCGGTCAATGCTAACCCTAATTATAAGTGACTTATAATGTATAATATGTATAATACAATGTGTCTGCATAATATAAAGATATTTTATCATAAATATTGTATAATTATATAGCTTGTTAATAGTTGTAAACGAACACAACATAGTGGATGATATTTAGAACGCATGCTACGTAAAAATAATAAAAATAAGATTAATTACAATTAAATAAAGAAAAGAAATTTGTATTAGTGTAATATTATTTTGAAAAACATTTCCTTCCTTCTAGAAAAAACATGTACATATTAATAATAATTAAAGTATATTAAACCTAACCTGTACCTATAAACATCTTAATGTCATATTTTAAAGAGCTGTAATTTTAAAGAGCAACAACCCAGACTTGATGAAGACGTTTTAAATATATCTTGATTTGTAACATTATACGTCGTTTAGACGTCTTTAGGCTTTTATTGGACGTTTTTAAGACGTCCCGAATGTCTTACACGTCTTTAAGACTTTCACAAGACGTCTGCATGTTATCTGGAAATGAGATTTTAGTTTTCAAATTATTTTACAGTACGTCACATATTTGTACATTCATTTCTAAATAATACTATACCTACGTAAGTAGTGTACTGAAAAGTATAAGATTTAATTTAAAAAACACGATATGCAAAAGTTTTAAAGATATAGCTCCATCTAGTTGTATGGGACACCCTGTACATGTGACAAAATTATCACATATTTATGTTTATGTTATATTCAGTATGTAATCTATTCTATTTCATTACAATCATTTTATATTATGACTCAAATCATATTTATTATATACAAATTATATATCAATGTTGGTCAAAGTAATCGAGAGCATGACCCTACTATTGTTAGATAAGGAAATATAGTATACAGTTTATCTTCATAATTGGCCGCACAATAATAGGAATTATTTTGCTCAATTAATAATTATTAAAATAAAATAGTTTCTTGAAATGTAACTTAACGTTCAAAAATACATTATATTATCTACAAAATTTTCGTAAAGTGTGGCAACGTCGCGTTTGCGCAGAACACGTAAACAGATTGCAGTAGTTTATTCCATTCAAATTATCAGCAAAAAAGTATACTATTTGTATCGTATTATTATTTTGTTGTATTAATATTTATTAATTTGGGAAAAATATATACTATTTGTGTCATATTATTATTTTGTAGTTTTAATATTTATTAATGTAGCAAATTAATTGTTTATTGGTGAAGTTTTCTAAGGTTCGAAAGTGACATTCTAAAAGTGTTTAACTTCATGGTAATATATGTAAATACTATTATGTTCATTCAATCATTTCCACATAAGTATTTTTTAATGTAGCATTAAATACTGTTACAAATACATCTATAAAATAGAGTTTCAAATGAAATAACAATATCATCAGTATAATCGGTTAAATTGAATTTATTACACTTTAGTGTACTGTAAAGAAATATTGTAGTGTATTTATAGTGATTGTTCTTCAGTGATTTGTGTGTATTGTGTTTGTTATGTGCATAGTGTACGTTACATATGGAGTACACAATGGAATACACATTTGAAGAATTTTCCTACATGCATCTGTGTGTAGTGAAGGAAACAGTAGTTCCACAGAAGTCGGTAATGTCGTTTACGGTGCCGAATGTCACCGTATTCTTTTTTACGATTTGTATGAGGTAAGGTGCCGGCTATGTGTTGCTGGGTTTGGGGATCACTATATCCTGTGTCTTGACATGCTCTACATTCGTTAGTGTAGGGAGGTTTTCTCGGTTACAGGGATGTCTTTAACCGTTAATAACTAAAAAATGAAGCCTCAAACACAATGTTTTTATTCTTCACTTTAGTCTTATATTAGCTTCTAGAATCACCCCTTAAATTTTCTACCAACAGTTACCGAATACCTTGTATATTTAATATTCACAATTTTATTACGCACTGAAAGAAAGAAAAAAAATATTAAATTCTTGTATATTTTATTTCTAGGAATCCATGACTAAATGTATAGTTAAAAATCTTAAATCTTCGAAACTCTCAATAATTTTGTTTGTATAGATTGAAAGTAAAATACTTCTTAAGTCAAATATCGAATAACGTTCGATTTCGTAAATGCATAATTTGACGCCGTTGGAGACAGTAGTGGAGAAATAAATTTTACATATTTCCTTCGGATTAGATTATAAAAAATTCCATAGGATACTATTCCTTTTTTCAAATTGTTTGATATGTTGAAAATATAACACAAGACTTCTAACAAAAAATCCCTTACTTCGTGTGACTGGCTATCGATGACTATTTAGATGTCTCTTTGAGTAGAGGGCATGCACACAGTGGCAAGTTATTCACTAATTAAAATTTGCATTTTTAAATGTTTAATTTCATCTTAATAAGAATGATACCAATAAAATTGTTAAAAATTTCTTGATGAAAATAGGTCCAAATACAATATCATTCAAACTATTCTCATTTATGTTTAACATGTTATAATATTATTATATAG